CAGTGAATTATCAGGCCATATAGTATCAAATTTTAAAAATATAATTACATTTAAATAATCATATGTGAATAAAGTGATGGTATCTAGTACTCTGACTCCATTCTGTTGCCAAAATTAACATTATACGTGATGTATTTTTTCCCTGTGAAAGGTTTTAGGTTATATTGTTTTGTATTATTCTGATGATTTTTTTTCCCCTTATCTATATTGAAAGTCTGAAGATACTGGGTGTTGCATGCTACTGTCTAGACAAATTTGTAATTTACTGGTGACTGGACAGAGTAAAGTCTGTGTCCATATATCATGTGTGAAAGCTGCACCTTTTCATGCCGTTCATATGTTAAACATCAGCTTATTAGTTTGCACATGCTTGCAGATATTAATAGATAAAATGTGATATCATGTATCACTGTCCCAAGTTTCACTTTGTCCCTTTATTTCCCAGCCCTATCTGAATATAACCTGGAAAACTATAAGTACCTCCGGACAAGTCAGGTCAAGTGTTCCTGTGCTGTTATTCATCCACACTGGATAATAGTGTTGTGTTATTAACAGGGACAATGTGGAGTGGACTGAGGAACAAGAAGCATCTGCAAGGAAGAAGGTCTTAGAGAACAATCAGCCACTTCCTCCAGAGAAACAAGGTAGCTGTCGAGACTCACAGCTCATACACATGAATGCCACAGTGTGACCGGCTTCTAATCAGGAGGACGGCATTCCCCAGTGTTGTATATGCATTTATTTTCATCTCATTTTTGTGTGATTATTGTTGAAAATGATACAGAAAATTACCTTGAAGAATGCTTCTATATGGTTTGTGGCTGTAATTCGTTTTTGACATTTTTGTCTTATTAAGCTGCATTAAGCTTTATTGTGATGATTTGTCATCATGGCCAGATGTGCTAGATTATGACTTAAACTCTTGCATTTTCTGCCTTACTTGTTTTTGCAGATGAGTACGACAGCCGGGCAAATGAGTTCTGGAATGACTTTTACACAATCCACGAGAACCGTTTCTTCAAAGACCGCCACTGGCTCTTCACAGAGTTCCCAGAGTTGGCCCCACAGTGTAACCATGAGTCCTGCCTCGAGGTCTCTGGCACAGATGAGAGTCAGCAGGATAGTCTGGATCAAGAACAGAGAAGGGAAGCTGCAGCTTTGTCTCACAGTGACGGTGACATCCCCGGCTCCTCGGCCACATATCGCATTCTGGAGGTGAGAGACACATTGACACGCATTTAGCAAGTTGGCTAAACGTGAGTGGTGCACATTGAATTACAAAGCAAAATGTCTGCTGTTGTATTTACATAAGTCATCTGAACAGATTGTCAACAGGTTTCAGTGACATTTGGTGCAAAGTTAAAGTGTTGGTGAATTATACTGAGCATTGTTGAAAATGATCAACCTCTGTTTTTGTCAGGATTCATTCTCTTGAGACAAACTTTGTATGTGTTTGAGTTTGACATTGAGTTAAAAAAACAAACGCTATATTAATTGTGTGTATTGGACAGGTTGGCTGCGGTGTAGGCAATACAGTTTTCCCAATACTGAAGACCAACAAGTAAGTTTGAAGCCATGTTTGACACACTGTTCTCTGCTTGTGTCTTATGATGTGCACTTGAAGGTGTAATGGCAGCTTTGCTCTTTGCAGTGACCCGGGACTCTTTGTTTACTGCTGTGATTTCTCCAGCACCGCTGTGGAGCTAGTCAAGGTGAGACGGGATTAATGAAAGGATGATGTGTTGATAGATGTATTCATCTCCTGGGCTGTGGGCTAACTGATGAATTAGCATTGATTTCTTGTCTTCAGACTAATCCAGAGTACGACCCTGGGCGCTGCTTCGCCTTTGTTCATGACTTGAGTGATGTGGAAGCCAATTACCCCATCCCCGATGGAACCCTTGATGTTATAGTGCTAATCTTCGTGTTATCAGCATTGCATCCCAACAAGTATGAACTTGTTTCTCCGGCTTTCTTCTTCTTCTCGCCTCTTTGGTTTTCACTCAGTGTGGGTCATTTAATGTAGTACTGGTTGTCTTAAAGTTTCATCCTGTCTCAGAATGCAGGCATCCATCAGTAGATTAGCACGGCTGCTGAAGCCTGGGGGAGTGATGCTGCTCAGGGACTATGGACGCTACGATATGGCACAGCTTCGCTTTAAGAAAGGTTAGTCAGGATGAAGTCCTGTGGCTCTGGTCCAAACAGCTGTTCAGATCGTCCAGGTCCAGAAGGGTCCATTATTCATGGCCTGTTACTTGTGTTTATCCTGGAAGATGTCTTTCATTAAGGTCTGTTTTTGTGGTAGCACAGTTTTAGAATTGACTGCTGCATTAGGTCACACCAAAGTTACTGTTTGTGTCTGTCCATTTTAAATGACAGTCAAAGTATGCTGCCTTTAAATACGTGAAAGACTAATATGGACCACACTTAAAGTGAAACTTGGACATTTTTCTTCGTGGACTCTATTTTCCTATGTTTGTGTCTAAGCAACTATTGGCAACAACAGTGTTTGAAGTCCAGTGTAGCTTATTTGCATGACGTCATAGATCAGTGTGCTGTCCAGATGGAGGGCAGGCAACTGGTGGCAAAGGCTACTAACACTGCACAAATGTCTACAAATTGCGGTGTTTACGGCTTTTACAAACAATTAACTAGGGAAAAAACAGATGCCACTTAAAGTCCCGAAAATAGTAAAGGGGAGAAGAGAAAGAAGTCTCTGAGAAACAGCAGCAGATGTGGATCAAAAACCTTCTGTCTTCAGTCTGGAGACTAATGTCAAACGTAAATTTTTGAAGCATTGTGTTAAACATGCCCCATTACATGGTGTGACAGCTTCTCTGTTTTTAGCCACGATCCAGATTTTTAACAGTGTTTCACCAGACCTCTGGGAACAGTTGACCTAGTATGTAGAAAACAGTAGCTAACATTACCTAGTAATGTTTGCCTGACAGCAGTGCATCCATGTACAGTTGCAATAGTTGAAATATAAAAGACAGTTACACTCAAGCACATCTTCTCACCTGGCCAAAAACGAGATTGCAGTCGTTTCTGTCATGGACACAACAGCACACAAAACACTTATAATCCACTAGACGCTTGTACGCTCCATCAGCTCGCCTTGTAACGATGAGGTAATTTGTAACGATGATCGTGTCCACACCAGGCAAATCGGTCAAATTGTGGGAAAAATCATATTTCTTCATTTTGTATGGATCAGTTTTGATGATCCATTTCTGCTGCCCGAAGGTTCATCCAGCTCTTTATGTCGTCTATTTCCTCTATATCCAATTGATGTGGTGTATGGATTTATCACTTGCTGCCCTCCATCTGAATTTTGGGCATCATAATTTTAGTATTGAGAGAGACTGCTGCAACAGCAGTAGTAGCAGCAGTGTTATCCCTGTGGGCAATTGTGCACTGTCAGTTTACAGTTCACTTTACTTAAAAGTGCTTGTTTTGCCACTGACAGACTCTCTTGAAAAATAAAATAATTTTCATTACCTTTTGCTCAAAGAGAATTATCATTCTGAAATCTTGCAAGAGGTAACTCGGAAAAACAATGATGGAAACGTTAGTGAGAGATGGAGAGAGGAGTGTGGGGAAGAGTTTGTTGTGTAGTGCCATGGCTGAATATTTAGCTGATTTCAACGATGTGGAAAAGTCCGCTTGCTTCTCCTTGAGTGAGACTTGGTTACACACACTAACAAACAGATTGGATCAGCAAAGGAAAAACATTTGTAGGGTCCTCTCAATGATGTCAGACACTTGCAACAACAATATGAGCCTGTCAGTGGCAAAAACAAGCACTCTAAATGGACGTTAAATGACTGTGCACAATTGCATGGAGGGATTACTTTGCAGCTGCTGCGGCCTCTTAGCACTGGACCAATTTTAAAATTAGCTGTCTCCATTAGTGACTTAGACACAAAAACATGGGAAAATAGGGTCCAGGTAAGAAAATAAAAAAAGTTTCCAATTAATGTATAGTAACAACAAGTGTGGCTGCACAAGACCTGTCACACTTGGGCTCCATATGCAGTACTTCTAATGGTATACTGCAAATTAAAACAGCACTGCATTAATAAATAATAGTTATATTGTGTGCCTTTACTTCTTTTAGGAAGGTGTCTGTCAGAAAACTTTTACGTCCGAGGGGATGGAACAAGAGTGTATTTCTTTACTCAAGGTAAAAATAAAGACATTGTGTTAATACAGATTTATTTGGATTATTTTTGCAGGATTGTTCCTTAATTTTATATATATTTATATGTATATGATAATAATGCTGTGCTTTGTGTTTTCAGATGAGCTCCATGAGATGTTCACTGAAGCAGGGCTCGAGAAAGTGCAGAACCTTGTGGACAGACGGCTGCAGGTGAATAGAGGCAAACAGCTCACCATGTACAGGGTGTGGATCCAGTGCAAGTACCGCAAGGCTGCAGCTCTGCCGCTTGAGACGCAGGGCTGAGACAGAGGGGGACAACATGTCTGGCTTGGCCGTCACTTCAGCTGAACCACAACTGAAGCTAGGAGATCAAATCAAGGTGGTGCCGGGCCCTTTCTCCAAGGATATGTGGCATTGAGACGCTCCATTATGATTGTGATTAAGGGGGATACACCTGGATAGTTAAATGCTGTAAAAGCCTTAGACTAATCCAGCTGTGGTGATGCTGATGGACTTGTTTTATGGCTGAAGTTCCTGATGGTGCTACAATTCTGCCTATGAGAGTGAAGATTTTCTCATTTGATGCTGATGAGTTCAGTAATCTAAGAGAGGGCTGGTTACCCCAGTTTCAGTGTTTCTACTCTGACAGATGCTGTTTTAATGAGCTGATGTTTTGGAATAAAATGCATGATTTTTAAGATAACTTTATTACCTTTTTGTACATGCAAAATCAATAAAAATCTAAACTGTTAATCTGATTTACTTTGGTGTTCAAATGCTGTGCTCAAAGTGTTTTGTTAAAGAAATCACGTTAAAAATATTGGGCACAAGGCTACTGCTTTATTTCTATTAATGCATCTATCTTATGTTTGAATGGCGACTTAAAAAACATTAAATTTGCAATGTAAGGTTATTATATAAGTTGAGCATGTGGGTGTGAGTCATGGGAACGGCAACTTTCTGATAAGTGATCATTTTGATGGTTGCCTGGGTGGGCGCTGTTAAATTGTATTGTGTACAGAGGGATTTGCCATTGGTCCAGACAAGAGATTTGGGGCAGGCGTGGACTGAGCGAAGGTGAAAATACTTGAACAATCTCACGAGAAAATATGAGATTTTACTGATTATTGTTTACATTGTAAAAACATGAGAACCGAACCGAATCGATCCGGATTCAGCTGAAACGCCTGCAACAGCACAACTTCCGAAACAGATTGGTTTCTTCCCTGCGGCGAGGAAGGCGACTGGAGCCGAACTTTGTTTTGATCGAGCTGAAAGCCAGGACCCGAAATTGATCTCACCGCCGGGGGAGAAAAAGATAGGGGTAACTATCGCCTAAAGAGCTCAAAGACATCATTTATACCTGGTGAAAAACGCAGAATCTCGAGGGTCGCCATTGTGTGGAGCAAGATACCCATAGGGACGGTATGGTCCTCGGCAAGAGGGATATGATGGGGATCCCTGCCTAAGGAGCACAGCAACGCGGGTTTGGGATACCCGGAGTTGTCGAGGCCTCCGAGGGAATCCACCGTCGTCTACCTTGAGCTACACCGCACACTCCCGTGTCTTCATCGTTAACAGCCAGCACGCGAGGGACGCGGCTGTGGATGCGGCCTAGCCTGGGAGGGTCTGCCGAGCACCGGGGAAACAACGGGGACGGTTTCAGGGTTAACAACAGGCCCTCCAGAGGACCGAAAAAATATTGAATTGCAGTAAGTATCTCGTCAGGTTGTCGAAAAAAGAAAATATCTAGACGGGGCTCATTTTACAATGTGTCCAAGCGTCGTGGCAGCAGCACCTGACAACACAGAACCGAGAAGATGCTTCTTTTTGACAGACGAGTTAACGTTAGCATATTGCTACCTAACGCTAGCCATCTTACGTGTGTTTGTAAAATAGTTTATTGTTGTGGATAGTAGTTGTGTGAGCCATTAAAGTTATGTAATCTTACAACTGTTATTGGACCGAGATAAATCACAGTTTGCCTTGCTTGGGTGCGTTATTTGACAAAATCATATCTAATGTTACTAGCTAGCGTTAACCGTTAGCTCTTAGATTGCAATGCTAGCTGAGTGATGATGGCCAACGTCTGTAGGCTTGTTAGCTCATTTATCCAATGTTAGCTATCATTCACTGATGATGTTTCAAATTGTATTGTTAGCTGAGCCAGCAAACTCAATCACGTATAAAGTTACACAAGAATAGTGACTCGAATTTATCCCAAAATGGACACGAATGCTGTAGGTTACACTATTCATTTAATGTATGCAAGCTATAGATAACACACTGACACAGCCGTCAGAGTTGGGCGTGTAACTTAAACGTTAACCTTTGCACAGGCTAGCAAGCTGGGCACTTATTGTCTATAGTGGCCTTTTCCATTGCTGTGAGTATACTTGGCAGTCCCTCCATTAGTGACCTTTCAGAACTCCAGCGCCATGTAACTTAGTCTCATAATGCCAGGGTGTTATCACATGATGCTGTAATTTTGCAGGCAATGACTCTACACATCTGGCCCAAGTCTTTGATGCATATTTGGTATTTCTTATTGGCTGTATTTTGGTGCATTTCAGTGCTGTGATTATTTCACTGGGTGCTCGAGTTGCATGGCTGGTGCTTGCTGAACACACATGATAGTGGAAAACATTATTGTCAGGCTTATTGATGACTCAGAACAGGAATTTTCCACATCCATATAGCTAAAAACAGCCATGACTCATCACAACCAATGCCTTTTGAAACAGTGATCCGTCACTCCCACTTGAATATACCAGACCCCACAATGCCTTCCTTAATCTGTGCTCTTGTCTCTGCAGCCATGATGGAAGAACTGCATAGCCTGGACCCCCGACGGCAGGAGCTGTTGGAGGCTCGTTTCACTGGGGTCGGCGTGGCTAAGGTTTGTGTTACAGCACATGTCGCTGAGGTGGAGCATAAGAACACACTCCTGTCAAAGTGCTTATAATCACAGATTTTTCTTGATTACACATTTTTGTGAACCTCTTCCTTTCTTTGTCTCACTCTGCCTCAGTATCATTCTGCTGTTTGGCCTGGACAAGCTTGGCCCCACTCCTTTTCTTTGTCTGTCTCTGGAGAAGGTTGAGCTGTGTCTGTGTTTTTTGGCTGGTGTGATATGGCATCTCTCCCTGGCTCATGATGTAGAGGCTGCATATGCAAGTGGTGATGCCTGCCAAAAAGGCCACAGACAGGACAAGGGTGGTAGGGGGGAGGAGGAGTGAAGGCAGAAGAGGAATGCAGAAATAGTTCTTGACCAGGTGTGATGAGTGTAGGCAGCATTTAGCTTCCACCCTCTTGCTCGCTACATGGATGGAGCCGTCTTTGTGGAAGGTGATCTTGGAACAGTTAGGGAGCGAGAGTCAGCGCCAGGAGTGGGCCCTGTGCCAGCCATAGGCAGAGCTGAGCCCAGAGCATGGCATGGCTGCTGCCGCAGAGAAAATGGCGGCTCTCGCTAAGGCATCATGCCACAGCCGCCCTGTATGACTAGAGATGCAATGTGTGTAGGGGGGGAAGTGAGAGGGAAGTGTGTCAACAAATGGCTATGAAGGAATATGGGTTGGTGGTCTAAAAGCTCTTCAATGTCACAGAGGAGCATGGAGTTTTTTCTTGACCTTGAACAGCCCTGTGGCACTGCTGCTCTCTCTGTTATCACTGAGTTGGTATAAAGGAAGGGAAATTGTTATCCTTTGAGGACAAAGGGCCAGCAGAACTTTTGGTAATGGAACAGAGAGGGCCCACTAAAATTGTCGGCTAGTGCATTTCCCTTTGAACAGGTCTGATCAAACAACCGAGGTGTCTGGGAGGGGTAAAAACAAGCTGTCATTCTTAAATCAAGCAAAGCATCTTTCACTGGCTTTCTCCAGAGGGAGGAGAAGAAAAGAACAGTGAAGACCACGGTGAACAGGAGAAAAATGGATGACATTATCTAAAGGTGACAGACAGAGGGAGGAATACATCCCCAGCAGCATGCCTAATGTTCAGCCATTTTAGGAGGGTTCAGCGAGAGAGCTCCAGTGTGCTCTGAATGACTAAGTATCTCTCCCTGATTGGACAGTGTCTGCTGAATTTTGATGTGATTCATTTGACTGACAGGCATCACCTAGGGAACCAGCATTAGGACTGATGCAGGTCGAGATTCAGTGGGAAGTTAATGGTGACGGTATTTAGCCAGACCGCCGCATCCCCTCTCTCAGTTTCTCACCCATTTTACTCTTTGTTTTCTAACTCTTGCGTGCACTCTCTCTCACAAGTGCATGCATACATAGCAAGTACTTGTGCACACATTTGTAAGTTAGACTAAGTGGAATATATTTCTTGCATGTTTTATGCATATCTGTATTTAATATCTCCTTGTGCTTTATTTTTTATTCATCTTTACCTGATTTTAACAGGGCTCAGGTCAGAACCAAAATGAGTCATCCAATCAGAGTCTATGCAGCGTGGGCTCACTCAGTGACAAAGAGCTAGAGGTTAGTCTCTGTTACAAATGAGCAGAATTGTTAAGGCCAACCATGTTCCTGTTATTGTGCATGCAGTTGATTCATACTCGCTTCTTTTGACAGACTCCTGAGAAAAAAGCAAATGACCAGAGAGTGAGAAAACGGAAAGCAGACCATTTTGACAGCAGCCAAGGTAAGATTGTTCCACTGCTGTGATCCTTTCATCATGTATCCCAATTTTTGGTTTCTCTCTAAACTCCCTGCCTCTCTCTTTTCTAGGCAAAGCTGGTGCAAGGGGGCATAAAATTAGTGATTATTTTGAGGTGAGTGGCAGAAAATGTTTTTGTTTTTTGCTGTACTGTGTGTCTATTCAGCAAAGCTCATGTTCTCTATAAATGCTTCAGTATTAACTTTCCATACTGACTTTCTAATTAGGGCTGAACAATTAATCAAATTCAAAACGATATCGCGATGTGATAGAACGCAATTCTCATAAGGCAAAGTGGCAGAAACACCTTACCCCGCGAGCTTCACGTGTACATGCTGCTCTACGCTCCACGTGACATTAGGAATGAGAGAAGATGAAGAAAACAACTTGTAAAATGCTACAGGCAAGCTTTGATGCTCACAGTGCTACTGTGTGAAAACAGATTTAAGTGCAATCCACGTTTACATATTACATTGTTATAAGGGTAGCGTAACAGTCCTTCCTAACCTACAGCGAGTGAGCGAAGTCAGGTGGATGGAGCATTAATAAGTGTCCAGATATACTACAAGTGACAACAATATTCATGGAGCCTGTCAAGCCTTGAGCGAGCATAAGTAATGGCTCGTAGCTGCTCTGAAGACAGATTGTAGGTGCGCAAGCCTTCATAAAGGCCAGGGCTAGTGTTTATTCAAGCAAGCAACAAGTCACTTAGTCTGTGCTGACACACAGATCAGGTTAGGACATCTTCATTGCGAAACACTATGCAAACGAGCGAGTGAACATCAGATTGTTTTAGCGTCCAATTAGGAAGCGGTGTAACGTGCATAGGGAGTGTGTTGTTGAGAGAGAAGAAGATGGTGGACATGGTGAGAGCAGACAGGTGTTAGCAATTGGAGCAGAGAACGAATTAATAGTAGTAATAGTTGTCAAGTGGTAGTGAATGTACAATGTAGGTGCCGTTTTGTCCATGAATAAATGCTGCAGCTCATCAAGACCAAGCAAAGTTCCCATGTCTTGCTTCCTAACTGCTGCTAAAGTGAAGAGGGTTAGCCACGATGTGAGCGTCAACATCCTGGCCACAATCTGGA